CTGTTTCCCGACTGCCGACAACAGTTTACTGTCCGCACGCCTCTGCGTCCGCAATCCCAACAGAATAGGCAAGGCGGCCGAGTGCACTCTTTGGCGAAGTGGCCTACCTCTGCGCAGCGGCGGCAGGCACGCTGAATGTCCACCGGCCGGCTGTCCTCGTCGGAGATCATGTGATTCGTAACCCCGATGGGCAGGGGGACGGCGTTGGGTTCTCTTGCAGTCGTAGTCCTATGTTATGATGGTGACCTATGTGCTTGGTCCGACCCCATGGTGGCGAAGTGGGCGAGGGCGACGTGCCGGATCGAGTCCCGATCCCGTGCGATCTCGTATGCGGTGGCGAGCTGTGTCAGCGTTTCGAGGGTGGAGAACTCGTGGCGACGGATAAAGAGCTGATATTCTGGCAACAAGTTCTCATATATCCTTTCGAGCTCGTCTGCCACAAGAAAGTTCTTGAATGGCTCCTGCGGCTGTTGATACCGGGTGCGGATCGTGTCCTCCAACCTTTGAAAGTACCTCGGAGGCAGGAAGAACTCCAAAAACTCGGTCTTAAATAGAAGCCATGGCACGGAGTGCATGCGATAGGCTCGGTACCAGCCTTCCGCTCTTCCAGATAGTAATCCGGAGATGGCTCTGGGTACGTCGCTGATCCGGACGTTGTAGGCGGCTGCTCCTTCCTCGACTCGTTCCACGAAATTGACCGGGTCCGTTTGTCCGTCGAAGAGGATTCCCCAGCTCCGTAGCTTCTCGGTCAGTACTGCTGCGGATATGGCATCGCGCGGTGCTCGCTCAGTGGAGGCCGTGGTTGCGTTCTGGGCTTCCGCGCTGGTGGTCATGCGTCCTGGTGAGGATGACCGCCCGGGTACGATCAGCTTCATGACCCCTGCTTCCGGCATTGGGGACGTGGACCGTGATTGCACTTCCTTCGCGGATGGTGCCTCGGGATAGAGGGCTTCTAGCTGGGCGAGTCGAGACAGCGTAGCCTGGCCATGCTCTGTCTTCCCGATAAAGTCGGCTAGTCGTGTTCGCAGCTCGGCTACCGTTCCTGCCGTTTCTAATCCGAACTCCTTGAGGAGTCCCTCCAGTTCCTCTTTTCGGCGATATGAGATCCAGCGAACGCCCATGGTGGCCGGCTTTTCCTCACATCCGGTTGCTACGACTAATTCCTCCAGGTTGTCGTCCGGCGTGGGTTTCCGGGTGGTCTTTGATGTCCAGTTCCTTTATCCTTGGCGTCGGTGTCCAACGACCACGTTGGCGGCGACGTAGAGTGGCCGAAACGAGGCTTAGTGGCGATGTTGAACGGCGTTGATGGCCAGCGACCACGTTGGCGGTGGCACGAAGCGGCCGGAACGAGGCCTAGCAAAGCTGCACTGCGTCGGTGGTGGTCCACGACCACCTTGAAGCGACGTTGAGCGGCCTGGCTGAAATCCGGTGCGGCTCAGTGACGTTGATGGCCGAAACGAGGGCTGACAAAGCTGCGCTGCGTAGGTGATGGCTATGCGTCGGTGGCGGAGCTGCGTCGGTGGGGAGTGCGTCGGTGGCGATGCTTGACCACGTGGGTGGCGCTGAATCGCCTCGCCCACAAATCCGGCAGGGATCAGTGGCTTCGATGGCCGGAGCGGGGCTGGCGGCGCTGCGCTGCGTCGGTGAGGCTTCTCGACCACCTTGGAGCGACGTTGAGCGGTCTGGACCCCAATCCGGCGAGGATCCGCGGAGTCGATGGCCGGGACAAGGGCTGGCGACGGCGCTGTGCGGCCGAACCGAGGTTTGACGAGGATCGGTGGTGTCGTTGGGGACGGCCACGTTTAAACGGAACGATAAAAGTCCCCCGTTGCAAATAGAGGAGAGAGAGCCCCAACCAAAACTATGGCGGCAGTCGTGTGCGTATCAAAAATTGTTTTCCTATTGGCGTGCGTGTTTGCGGTGTTTTTGCGACCCTGGTTTTTCTTGTGCTTGGCGCGTGTAACGACCCTGTCTGTTTTGCTGAGCTGGCGTGCGTCGGACGTGTGCGACGACCTTGTTTGCGGCGAAAAAAAAATAGCTCCTAGCGTCGCTGCTGGTGTGCGCGGTGCCCCTTGGTGGCCTAAGCGATGTCTGGCCAGGATTTATGTATGCTGGCGTGATCGGCACGCGTGCCGGGGTGGTTTTGTGGCGATGCCGGGCGCTCTGGGTGGCCGGGCGGCTAGGCGACGGCCAGCGGCGTCTTATGGGTCTTTAGGCCATAAATTTTTGGATAAGCGGGGACGAGTTGAGGCGGGCAATCTGGACGCAGTCGCCGATGCGCGCGGTGAGCCTTGGTGGGTCAGATCAGGCATTTGGGACTCGGATTTGGGCCAGACGCGAACGAGTGAAAGCCGTCACGTGCGTGTCGGAGGAGGCACAGTGGGGGATTGGCCCGTACCACTGTGTCAACTCCCGCCGCCTGGGGCGCTGTTTCACGCCCACGCAGAGGAATCGTCTCTAAACATGGACAGAAGTCAGCGTTCCCAGTTCTGGGACAGGCTCCCACTGTTCGGGATGGGTGTGCTTCGGTCGAAACCGAGACGGAAAGCTATGCAAGCGGAGAGAAAACCCGTACTTGCACGCCTTCACGTCTGTGCACGTGGTTGCCACCAAAGTCCAGTTGCGCAGAGGAATCTTCTCGAAAACGCAACCGGCTTGGCCTGGGCCACTGTTTGGCACACGCGGGTCGGGTTCGGGTTACTTGAGGCTTGGGTGTGTCGACCGGAATCGCGACGGAAAGCTATGCAAGCGGAGAGAAAACCCGTACTTGCACGCCTTCACGTCTGTGCACGTGGCTGCCACCAAGGTCCAGTTGCGCAGAGGAATCTTCTCGAAAACGCAACCAGCTCGGTTTAGGCCACTGTTTTAGCACACGCGGATCAGTGCTCTGAGGGTCCGGGAAGAAATAAATCCAACTCGGGGTATGTTCGCTGTTCTTATTGTCCGTGTTTTCGTTTTATTTTTCTTGGTTATCTTTGTGGACTTTTCTTCCTCTTTTCTATCTGTATATTTTCCCTAGCCGCACTATTTTCTTTCCCTGTCTCTCCCTATCTCTCTCGCACTCTACTCACTAGGGTCCTTCGCCCTGATCCTTGATGTCCTGCGGGTCCTTGGTGTCCTGCGTGTCCTTTTGCGTGGTTTCCTCTGGCTTCGATGCTTGTTCCTTGACTGGTGGCGAATGAAAGAGAAGCTGGACTAGCAGCCGCCGGGTTTATATAGCCAGCCGGGTCCTCGCTTCTCAACACTGTAACCGTGCGCAGGTCGCCTAATCCGATCGTGTGTAGATCGCCTAACTCGCTGAGTAGAGTGCCTGATCAGCTGAGATCCTAATTAATACATTAAATAACGACTGTTTGAACTACCGGCTAACGACCGAAGTTCTTTTAAACTTAACGGCTCTTTTGGCTTCTTGCCTGCCTCCGTGGCCTATCCTATCTTAGTACTAGTTCTTTTTCTTATTGTCTACCAATATGTACATCTTAAATTACTATCTTATCATTATTAACTTATTGTCTACCAATATTTTTGGGAATTATAAACATTTTTTTACTCGCTGGATGTGGGGCAGCTTTTACGGTGCCTCACAATTCTCTGAAATGAATTTGGCGCTATTTTTAAACCAAAAGGTAATCGCGTGAAGCGATACGAGCCATTGCTCGTTGAAAAGTTTTTTTTTTTTGTTTTTTCAAGTTCTATTTGGTGAAATCCTGACATTAAATCAAGACATTAAAAGTATTTTCTCGACCTAGTTGATCTAAAATATCATCAATTCTAGGGAGTGGAAATTTATCGGTCGGAAAACAATTGCCAGAGTCGAAGCAAGATACCATTGGCCGGGAATGCACCGCGACATAAGGAAATACGTGCAAAACTGCGAGAGCTGCCTACGATATAAGCCAAGCCAACTACAGGCGGCCGGAAAAATGCTGACCCAAGTACCGGAAGAGCCGTGGGCCACTGTGTGCGCAGATTTCGTCGGACCACTGCCCCGCTCCAAACACGGGAATTCTATGCTACTAGTGCTGGTAGATAGGTTCTCCAAGTGGACCGAAATGGTGCCAATGCGCAGGGCAACGACGGAAACTCTGGAAAAGGCGATCCGCGAGCGGGTCCTCGCAAGATACGGCGTGCCCAAGGTACTGATTACAGACAATGGCGTTCAGTTCACCAGCAGGGCGTTTAAAAAATTCCTGGGTGAATTAGGCGTCCGACACCAATTCACGGCCCCATACGCGCCCCAGGAAAACCCGACGGAGAGAGCCAACAGGACGGTGAAAACTATGATCGCGGCACGAAAAGACTGGCAAAGAAAAAACCGCCCACGTTAGCCAATTAAAAAAACAATTTATTGATGGCCAAAACAAAGGATCGAAGTCGGACTTAGCGGGGGCGCACTGTGAATCCGAAGAGAGGGAGAGGACGATACACAGTATCGAACTCACACAGATGCATTAGGAGCGCGAGAGCGGGAGAGGGAGGGTCATAGGATGCGGATACCGTTACCGGGTAACGCACACCAGAGAGAGGACCCGTCGGAGCCCCGTAGCAAAGGAGAGTCCAAAGGCCGCCGCGGACAACGGAACCGGGAACCATCGGAAACCGAGGTTTCGTCAGCGCGCGAGCGCCACAAGACGGGCCTATTAAAATCAGGTCGCCAACATGAGTGCAAGTAAATGCAGCAGCAAGTCCATGAGGGGAGAGGGGCGGGGAGGCAGCACCGGGCAACAGCCAGCGGCGAGATGGAGGCGGGACTCATGTTCCGCACTCCAGCTGCTGGCGTCCTCCCTGGTGTCGCGGTCTCCGTTGCCGAACCCAGAAACGGAGGACGAAGGTCGGATCACCGACGTGGAGCTAGAGGAGGAGGAGGTGGCCGGCATCTGGTCGGCAGGGCAGGAGGCTGAGGTGCCGACCATCAGCCTGTCCTCGTCCGAGGAGGAGGAAGCCCAGGAGGACACCGGGACGGAGACGGTGAGTCCGGAGGTCTCCCCGGACGAGGAGGACTAGCCACGTCGGGCGGCAAAGGCCCGGATGGCATTCCGCCGTATAAGGAGGGCCGCAGCCGGATTCGGGCGGATCCGGTTGGGCGACGCAGCGCCATCGGGTCGCCCGGAGGAAGCAAAGCGGATTTTCGCAACCCGGGCAGAGGTGGTGCGGCGAATATTCGCGCAGCGGGCGGTGGCACGGGCAGCCGCAGCAGCCAGAGAGTGGCAGAAGCGGCTGGATGAGGCTGAGGCCGAAGAGGCAGCAATCTGGGCACGGCCAGGCCCTATGGAGCAGCCGCCGCCGCAAGCACCTCCACCGCCGTCGCCACCGCTGTCGCTGTCGCAACCACCACCACTGCCGTCGCCGCCCCGGGCAGCAGCACCGCCACCGCCACCACCGTCGCCGCCCCGGGCAGCAACACCGCCACCGCCACCGCCACCACCGTCGCCGCGCCGGGCTGCAACACCGCCACCGCCACCACCGTCACCGCCGCAGGCACCACGGCCATTCCAGGCACCACGGCACGGAGCGGAGACACCGCCGCCTCCACCGCCGCCGTGGGTGCTAACGCCATCGCCGTTGCCAGCCAAACGGCTCGGTGGGGAGCCGGAGTTCTGGGAGAAGGGGCCCTGGGTGTGGCCATCCGCAGAAGGGCCAGCCGCACGGCCGCCCAAAGTCGCTAGGATGACATCGTGCCCGGAGCCGCGGTCGCCACCAGCAAGGCCGTCGATGAGCCGACAAACTTCGGCGGACAGCAGCCGCTGGGAAGAGATTGCCGAGGGAGGGTGGCCGCCGAGGGTGGCATCCGAGGCCAGCAGGCAGGTGAGAAGGGCTCGGAGCAGCCGCTGGGCCAAGCTGCTAGTGGTAGATGGCGTCCGCTACCGCATCCGGGTGGCTGGCGGGGCGGTGAGAGTCCTGAAGGCCCAATAAAAGGCCTTTAAAGGTTTTAATCCGAAAATTGGTTTGTTTATTTACATTTGGGAGCAATGGGTTGCCGGACATAGGCAATAGGGACGGGGGCGCCGAGATAGGCGGTCGATCGATAGTTGCGATCGATGGGTTAAGAAAATTGGTTATTTCTATGTTCAAAAATCCAAATGGCAACTTAAGACAACGAAAAGGCAACGACGATAGCAACACTGGAACCCACAATCGATAAACGCGATCGTGGTGAGATTCCAGGGAGTTGCCGGACCGAGGGAAAACGAAATGGTGACTTTTAGTTTGGGGAAATGTCTGGGCGGGAAAATTCGAATTCCAAGCAGGGAACTGTCTGGGGAACTGGGAACTGTCTGGGGAACTGGGAACTGTCTGGGGAACTGGGAACTGTCTGGGAAATGGGAACTGGGAACTATCTGGGGAACTGGGAACTGTCTGGAGAACGGGGAACTGTCTGGGGAACAGGGAAACAGTCTGGGGAAAAAATCTTTAAAGGAGCTGCATGGAAAAGTCTTTTAGGGAAACAGTCGCGGGAAAGTTCAAGTCTTTCAAGGAGCTGTACGGGTAAAGTCTTTTAGGAGAACAGTCTGGGGAAAGGTTAAGTCTTTCGGGGAACTGTCTGGGGAACATCTAACACGCAAGTCAGGCGGGGAATTCGAGTAGTCTAAACATAAAGGGCGGGGAAAGTCACCACTTTCATTACGTTTCCGAAGGAAGAGGGAAATGTGACGAGTCATAAACTCCCCACAAATCCCGATGCAGGAGATCGGCCTAGCAACAGCGGAGGAGGCGAGAAAACCGGAGAAATGAAGGGCATCCAGGTCAAACGGGAAACATTCGGACCTTGGACCCTCATATGGCAAGGGCAACGAGGTCAAACGGTGAATTGGCGGACTTTGGACCCGCCTAAAGAGGACACACCGTGAATTAACGGTACCTCGATGGACCTTGGACCCGCGCCCGGCAAGGGCAACGGGGTCATACGGTAAATTGGCGGACTTCGGACCCCCCCAAAGAGGACACACCGTGAATTAACGGTACCTCAGTGGACCTTGGACCCGAGGGAAATAACGGCACCTACAGCGCCTATAAAAAGGACGGCGCGAACGCAGCTCGGGACAGTACGAGTGCGAGAATCAGAGCGAGTGCGTGAACGCGGAATAAGTAAACATCGAAACCGAAGTGCCCAAGGATCAAGATCGCAAAGTCGAGACGCCGAACGACGACAAGCTACAGGCTGAGGCTACAACGCTGAGATACAACGGTGCTAGGTCGTGGTAAAGTCAAGCTTAGGGAGTCCTTGCGCGGTGTCAGGCGATAAAGGTGGCTAGGCGATAAGGGAGAACTTTGTTCTACCTGCTAGGCGATACACCTTGCCGACAAAGTCCAGGCTGAACTCCGGAAGCCAGGCGATAAAGGTGGTTAGGCGATAAGGCGTAACTTCGGTTCACCTGCTAGGCGATACACCTTGCCGGTCCCGGTAGGGAAGCTCGCATAACATCCAGGGTTTTGGTGGAGTCGTCCCGATCTCAGTCACCCGGAGCAGCAAGCCGAAGCAACACAGCGGTAAGCCAGGAGCGACGCAGCAGCACGCCAGGAGCAGAGCAGCAGCGAGCCAGGAGCAACGCAGCAGGAGACAGCGACAACGGGCAGCAGATTAATAGCAGTAATAGCTATATTTTAGAGAAACAATAAACCAGCACCAACCTAATCAGTTCTGGCGTTATCCTTTGGTCACGGGCGGTCACTCAATATAAATTTGGTGGAACGAACTCACAACCTCTCTGAGCTAGCCGCTGAATCAGGTCGTTACAGAGACAATGCATGGTGGAATCAATTTAATGAGAAACCAAATCCAAAGGAAGTATTGGATATTTAGGTTAAGGGATTCTCTGAAGAAAGTATTGAGAGAGTGTGTCACTTGTGCGAGATATAGGCAATGTTCAGGTAAACAAATAATGGGTAACCTGCCAAAGTGCAGAGTGAATGTAGCATACCCATTTTTAAATACAGGTATAGACTATGCAGGGCCGTATCACCTAAAATGTTCGAAAAATCGGGGTCAAAAAACTTTTAAAGGTTATATCTCAGTGTTTGTATGCATGGCAACTAAGACAATTCATTTAGAAGTTGTGAGTGATTTAACTTCTGATGCATTTCTAGCAGCATTACAAAGATTTATAGCTAGAAGGAGAAAATGTGCCAATATATATTCGGATAATAATACCAATTTTGTAGGAGCTGCACGAAAGTTAGACGAAGAATTATTAAAAGACATACAATATAATTCCAGAGTAGCTGCAGAAAAGGAAACCGAAAAAATTCAGTGGCATTTTATCCCGCCGGTAGGACCTCACTTTGAAGGTATTTGGGAAGCAGGTGTTAAGTCGGTTAAATATCATTTAAAAAGAGTGATTGGAGATAGTATATTGACATACGAAGAGATGTCAACCTTATTATGCCAAATCGAAGCAATGCTAAACTCTAGACCGCTATATACGACGGGAGAAGATGTCGATGATAATGAGGTGCTAACGCCCGGACATTTCTTAATAGGTCGACCTACGTTGGACATAGTGGAGACAATGGATGATAATGAAAAGGTTCCTAGCCTGGATAGGAGGAGGTTAATTCGCAAAATGAGAAGAGATTTTTGGGTCAAATGGAAGGAGGATTATTTATATACGTTGCAGCAGAGGTATAAATGGAAAAAAGGTAGTCAAAATGTAGAAAAGGGGCAGGTAGTGCTCTTAAAAGATGAAAATTGTCACCCAGCTAGATGGCCAATGGCAAAAGTAGAGGAAGTTCATAAAGGTAGAGACGACAAAGTTAGGGTTGTCAAAGTAAAGACCTCAGAGGCATCATTACCAAGATTTGTCCTTTAATTGGTGTACAGCAAGCAGAAGATGCAACTGCAACTCCGACCATAAAAAGAGTTTCCCCTAGGTTATCTAAGCTTAGTAACATGGTAATATTGGTTTTGCTTGCTTTGTTGCGCCAGGTGTCAAGTGCCGCAGCGATAAAAACCAAAAAGGATGGGTTTGAGGTACAAAGAATTAATACTTAGATCCCCTAGGAGATGTAGAAATTGTAAGTACGTCTTGGAATTTGGTGGTTTATTATAACATGGAGGCATATTTTAAGATGATTTATAAAGGTAAAGCGTTGATAAAGGAAATGAGAAGAGTTTGCGAAAAACTTCATGGCTTTGAAGATCAATGCAATCTAGTTTTGGATAATATGCGAAGCCAATTAATGGAACTAGAAGAGAATAATAAATTATTTATGATGCAACCAAGATCCAGAACCAAACGTGCTCCCTTAGAGTTTATAGGTTCGTTGTATCATATTTTATTTGGTATAATGGATGAAGATGACAGGGAACAGTTAGAGGAAGATATGAAAAACTTATTAGATAATCAGAGGAACATGGATAAATTGGTTCAAAAGCAAACGTCAGTTGTTGATTCAACTACTAATTTATTAAAAAAAACAACCGAGGATGTTAACGCTAATTTTAGAAGTATGCAAGTAAGAATTGAAAAAAAAGAACAGCTTCACTCTTTGATTGAAGAAGGTGAAAAAGTTCAATCAGGGATTATAAGCCTATTAATTGATATTAATCACGGCAGACTAAACACAAACATTCTTAGGCCAAATCAGCTAAAAATTGAGATTGCCAAGATTCAGGAAAATCTGTCGGAAAATCTAATAATTCCAGGGAAAAGATCAGGAACGGAACTTAAGGAGGTATATACCTTATTAACAGCGAGGGGATTGTTTATAGAGAATAAATTAATCATCACTGCAAAAGTGCCTTTGTTTAGTAGGCATCCGTCTAAATTGTTTAGACTAATTCTGTTGCCTATTAGGAAAGTAGATAAAATAATAATGGTACACATAACTTCCGAATATTTAATTTATAATTTTGAAATCGATTCGTATGACATAATGAGCGAAGCAACCTTAAATCAATGTCAAAAATGGCAACAAAATAAAAGGATATGCCAAGGAAGTCGGCCCTGGAACTCCGCGAATGACAACGCATGTGAAGTTCAGCCGTTAAAACCAAATAGAGCTTCGAATTGTGTATACAAAACAGTAGTGGATGCCACAAGTTACTGGGTAGAGTTGGAAAAGAAAAGTAGTTGGTTGTTTAAGGTTCCGATAGGTACTAAAATAAGAGTACAATGTTCTGGGTCTCAAATGGAGTTGTCTGAACTGCCTGAGCAAGGGATTTTATGTATTGCACCGTATTGTACTGCAAGAACGGATGACAAAATGTTAATAGCCCATCATAATATTCAATCGGAAAGTGAAGAGACCCTGTCAACACCATACATAGGAGAGGTTAGTGAAGTTCCGAGAATAATGTGGGATCCGTTGAAGCTAACGCCATTAAATCATACAATTGAAATGGATAAATTAAAGAAAGAAATTAAAGAGCTTAAAGAAAACCATCCACAATTAAAGGATTTGCATTTCCATCATATTTCCGGACATGCTGGTCTTATATTGTCATTAATAGTTTTGGGAATTTTGATAATATACCTTGTGAAAAAATGTTTTGTTAGGCAAAGATTAGAAGCCATAACGTTCGCAGGACCGTTGCAAGAAATTTAAAGTTAAATAGTTAAGTAAAAAAAAAAAAATGTATTGAAAAATAATAAATTTACAGTCCACTAAACCGTTGTTTGCACAGTTGTCAAAAATAAAATATATTGTTAAACTAAATGTAAAGTTTACCGGGCCTTTGGCAGAATGTTCATCAGAACACGAAGTATTATAAATTTTAAAAGAATAAATCAAGCCAATGTTAGAGTTAAGCTATAAGAGAATTACATGTCTAAGCTGAAATATATATACACAAAAAGAGCAAGATTTGAGTTTAAAAAATTAAATTGAATAAATAATTACAG